TTAATTCCTGGAACAATAGTTGACATTTCAGATTATTTTTGACTTCACAAAAATAAGCAATTTTTTWAATAAAATAGGAACCGTTAATTATCCATGGCTTAGTTTCCTACATTTGCAAACACAGTTTTGTTTTCAGAATGTACTCTGACAAGGTCATTTCCAAATTAAATCCAAAACTCAGCAACAGTTCAGAAATGTTTCGACCAAACTAACTAAAAAATATTAGAGACAGAAAATAGAAAAGGATTTGAAGCATTTTTGTTATTGCTGTTTTCAGTTTAATTCAGTTTGTACAGCACCAGGTCACAACAAAAGTCATTTTGGGAACAATTTAGAGAAATAACTAGTCCTGTTAATTTTTAACATTTGACATTTTGTCAAATTTGTTTTCTTATAAATATGAATTTTTTTATGCTGTCATACATTTTTGATGTAAAAAAGAGCAAGGAGAATAAACCACAAGCGTTACAGACCATTACACTTAAACTTATTTAACAGTAAGTTTTATTGTGAAAATAAACATATTTTGTATTYGAGAATGTAATAACAGTTTAAAAAAAGCTTTAAAATTGATCCCATGTAGCCACTTTTTTATTTAATAATATTAAAATAATAACACACCAAGCGTATAAAGCACTTTTTTAGGACACATCAAAGATGCTTGGTGGTGGTGATAAACCACAGTGAATCCACAGCTGCGCTGCGGCACACTGACAGAAGTGGGTTGCCATGTGCTGGCACCACTGATCCTTCTGACCACCAGGCAAGGCAGGTGAAGTGTTTTGCCCAAAGCCACAATAACAGAGATGGATGGATTTGAACCAGCAACCTACTGGTTACAGGACGACTCCCCTAACCCCTCTGCCACAGCTGTTGTAGACATGAAACTAACATTTATTTATGCATGTCTGAAAGAGTCAATACAATCTTTAACAAGACTGATGAAGACTCTCAGTTACATTTTTCCCTTTTTAAATGGGTTTCAGTGGTTTACTTAAAACCACCTCAGCTGCAGCACCTGAGCGCCCTCTGCTCCCTCCCAGCGAGCAGCGTGATAAATGCATCAGGATTTGACTCAGAAAGTTAAAAACAGTGTCTGTGCATTTAGATTCACAAATAAAATGAGAATTAGTTTTCCCCCTGAGTTTAATTTTGCTGTCAGTTGTCCTTGCCCTCGCCCCAGTTAACGTGTCCTTCTGCACTAACTTCTGTCTGTCCTCACTCTGTCTCTCAGACACCACGGGGAATTGCTCTGGGTCACTCTGTCTCACGCCGTCCCTTATCAGCTCTCACCACTCTGTGTTTGAAAGGCTGCTGAACTGAACTTCTCTCTTTTGTCTGATGTTGGGCTCTAAAACAACACAAGCTGTGCTGACTATTAGCTTCTTATGAACAAACACAGCTTTGAGCTTTGGTCTGATAAATCTATAGAGCTACTGAGGGTGCCTCTTGCTTTTTGCTCCTCATCTACAAATGTCACTTAGCGCTCCTAGCATCCAGTGAACACAGCTGCTGTTTGCATCCAACTTACAAATAATGAGTAACAAACAGCAAAGTKCTTCAGTTTCTTACTTAGAACATATGTGTCAAACTGAAGGTCTGCAAGCCAAACAACGGTCCTTGTTATCATTTTATCCAGCCAGCAGTAGTTCATTTAAAATGTTCAACACTAATTAAACAAAGAAAGTCATGCTCTTAGAAAGTTTATTGTGTACAATTTAAAAACACAATGTATCAAAATGTATCAAATAATGTATGGAACAATACAGATTTTTTTTTTAAATTTGTTCTATCAACTTGTCTTCTGAAGATGCTCAGTGGATCTGCATTTGACTACTCCACCTAGGCTGCATTGTCTAGCACAGATCCACTGAGAAACATGCTGATTCAGCAACATTTAGTTTAAAAACTGTACTATTGAGGTTAAACAAATATTTGTAATTAATTTCAATAAATTACAAGTTAACGTTGCACTCCTAACACACACACACACACACACACACACACACACAC